GCTGAGGCGGCTTCCCGCCGGCCCTCCCTCTCTCCTCCTGGGGGAGGCAGCAGCTCAGGCAGCCACCAGACTCGAGGCCACGCTGGGAGTGCATTAAATAAATATAAATTTTATTAAAAACACTCACATCGCGTTATCAGGAATGATATAATAATAAACGCTTTCAGATAACCTGCATTCATAACATTACAATACTTACAGTATTTATAGCCATCCTCAGATTTTAGACAAACCACACATCTCATGAAAATGAAATGAAACTCAGTTAAAAACGACAGCGGCGTAGAACAACGCAGAGTCCGTCACCTTAGTGTCACGCTGCGAGGCTCCGTGCCCGCCGGCTCGGGGCACGGCTGTGGCCGGCCGGGCGGGAAGTCCATTCAAGTAACCTCGACACCACTCAGAAGCATTTCAAGTAGGGCCCAGGCCCACCGGCCCTCCGGGCGGGCCGGCGGGCGGCAGCGCTTCCCCGCGTCCGCTGAGGCGGCCGGCCGGCGGAGGAGACGGAAGCCCAAGTCCGGAGGGCTGGCCGGCTCGGAGCCAAAGAGGAGTGTGCGGCGGCCGACCCGGCGGGGTCTGGAACTCGGAAAAACTAAGGTTCCGCGGCCGGGTGTCCACAAAGGCTTGGGAACCGGGGTGAGCTGGACGCAGCCGGGCGATCAGCCGCGGCCGGTGCCGCTCGGGTCTCCTCCGGCACAGCTCTGCGGAGCGCCCGCCAAGCTGCCCGGCGCAGAGAGCCCGCGGCCGGCCGGCCGGCCCCGGCCGGACCCCAGCCTGCCACACGGGGCCTCCCTTTGTGCCAACTCAGTGCAATCTATACTTCCGTGTCATTCTTTTTCCTGCTCGAAAGACTCAGAAGACTCCCACCCTTTTAAAATGCCTTTCTCTGCCCAAGCCCACTGATTGACAAAGTTAGTTTTAGTTACATCAGGACAGCGACAAGTGAAACAGGAGGGAGCCAAAGCAACAGGGTCAGATCCCTGAAAAAGAATGAATTCTTATTACCCCACGACCATGTTACATGAACACAGGTGACACGTTGGCATAAGGAGAACATGAGCTGCGAGATCCCTGAATTTTTAGAACAAAAAGGTTGAAGTTCAAGTTACACTTGCTAAGAAATCAAGTATCGAAAAAAGGTATACTTTCTTAATAATAATAATAATAATAATAATAGCGATAAAAAACGGCCTCGGGCAGGATGATGGTCCGCCACGCTCTGCCCTTCCTCTCAGCCCACGTCCCGCTGCCACACTAGTGTTGAGGTACACAGGAGGGCGCCGCGCGGGTGCAGCTCCCGCTCGCGCGAGGGTCTGTCTCAGCAGGCTGAGTAGCACCATCGTGATGTGAATATGCTTCGAATCCATACACATATATAGATTTCATCTTTTTACAGTACTAAAAATACTAAAGCATTGAATTAAAAAAGTTTTGTTTACAATTTAATTTACTCAGTATACATCTCTTTCACGGCTTTATACAGATCAATGATTTAAAACCACCACAGCAAACCAGCTGCCTGTTTTCCGTTTCTCTCATCATCAGCTTCCCGTGGAACTAACCCTGTTTGTTCACCGAGCGCGGGCGCAGGCACACGGGGCCGGGAAGTGACGGCCGTCCGCGCCCACCGGGCAGGGCAGC